TCAACTGAAGCTGAACTCAGATGTGGGACAGTAATAAAATTAAATATTACTTCTAAAGCCTAACAAATGAAGAGAATACTAATGGGGGGAGGGTGATTACTATTTCATGTCAAAAGAGTAAAGTCTACTCAGGATATTTTGATTTGGTTTGGAGTTAAAATTAACATACTAATCTGCTAAACAACAGAAATTCTCTTCTCAATAATAAGAAAATAAAATTGAAAGGAGTAATACTTGCTTAGCATTTCCTTTTAAAGTGTTCCATAAAGTACATCATCTGACTACAACAGCACTCTACTCCCCTGCAGCCTAAAAATAGATCACTTAATTTATTCCTAGATATTTTTATTAAGTGACTGGGGGTAGGTCGCTTTATAGTAAGTAACTTCCTGACATAAAGAAGTCTACTTGCAGAAAATGTGGTCCATTCCAAAATGATACTTGCAATCTAAGAGAAGTATGTTTCTGTTTTATTCTCAAATTGTTCTCTCCCACAAATGAAACAGCAAAATCCACTCACAGAAGGAAATAGGTTGGTCTACTTTTTAAAACCATGCATTACGTTTTCAAAAATTAAGAATTTCAGTTTGATAGGATCATATATTTTTTAATTTATTCAGTAAGTACAATATAAACTAGTGCCTTAACCATATGACACTGTACTTGATCATGATCTCTTTAATCATAAATGGTTGAAACTTGGCATGACAAAGATGCCCTCCTAGGAAACATTTACACAAGGTCAACTCAGCTTTTTTCTGTCTGGAAAACATCTACTAAGGATTCGGGAGCTCTTAAATAATACATCATTTTTTAAAGAATGGTGTGCATAAATGGCAGTATAAGTATATTAAGGAATTGGTAGCAGTCTTAATCAGATCTTCTTTTGTTCTGAGGAGAGTTTATAACCTCTGTAAAAATTGCCATAGAACAGTTCTGACTAACCCAAACCACAACTGGGAAAGCCGTTAACAGTGCAGAGGGACGGACGTCACAAGGGATTTTTTTCTTCATTTTTCTAACATTACAATAGCTTTTTTTAAACTGAAAAAATCCAAAACCAAGGTATAAAAGTGTCACATACTTAATTGGCATTTACTATGATTTTCAAGAATCTAAAACTGCAACCAGTAGCAAGATTAAAAAAAGAAACTGTTCATGCAATTTAAAGAAAAACAAAGGGTCCAAAAGCAAACCATCACTCATCACTCTCAAAACTCTGCTCAGCAATTTCAAATAATAAGAATATATGTTCCTGGATAGAAGTAATTAGAACCAACTCATACGAGACCAACATGATAAGTACAACAGGTTATGATTGGCCCACCCTCTTAAATATCCATGTTGCTCAAGACTTTTACCATCCCTCTTCCATTATCATTGCTCCAAAACTCCCATGGCATAGAGTCACATAATTTTATGTATTACTTAATGCACTAATTTCCAAAACTCAAATCCATCTTTTCCTCTATTCTCACTGCCATCACCTTGATTTAATCCTTCATTATTTCTCACCTGTTCCACTATAACAGCTCCCTAACTGGTCTTCCTATGTGCATTCTCATCCTTCTCCAGTCTATTCTTAACACTGTACGTGGATGCAAACCCAAACCCAATATGATCAAGTCTCTTCCCAACTTAAGTGCCTCAAGGGTTTGCTGTTACCTAATCTCCTTGGCTGCTTCATTTTTCTTCATTACACTTATAACCATCTGACATACTGTATTACTTATTTGCTATCTCCACTCCAACTAGAATGTAAGTCCATAAGGGCAGAGTTTTTGTCCGCTGCTGTATGTTTCATAGTAAGCACCGAAATAGTCACACATGAATGAGTGAATGAGTAAATGAATGAATTAATGGACTGATGATCTACAGGCCAAGGCCTCCACGACCGGCCAGGGCCCACCTCTTTTTACACCACTCCCACCTCTACCAATACTGAATTGTTCAATTACCTAAATACAATATGCACTTTCATGCCCCCTTGCTTTGCCATATGCTATTATCTTTGCCTGGAACTGTCTTCACCATCCAATCAATCTGCCACACCATCATCCATATTTTAAAACTGTCTCTAGAAAGCTTTCCCTGACCCCAAGGATAATCACTCTTTCTTTCCTTTGTGCTACATCTATCTATATCTGTATTCATAGCAGCTCTACTCAAACTGTACTGGAATGTGTATCTCCCTTACCACTGTGAATTCTTTGAGGCGAGGACAATTATTCATCTCTCCGCCTTCAGTGCCTAGGATGATACTTGTCATAAAGCAACTATTCTATAAACATTGGATAAATTAACATATACGTGAAGGTCCTGTGAGGGAAATGAAAACATGAAGTTTCAAGAAGTCACTCCTTCAATTCCGTGATGATAACCAGCCCTGAGATAGAAGAATTACAACCAATGACATCATCCAAGGTAATCGGAGAGGAGTTATACAAATAACACACATCAGCAAGTGATTCCAAAATAAGAGACAAACAGTCACACTCACACTTTATTAGATTTACATGCTGGCTCCTTGCTCCATCATTCATCTTCCCTTTAGACTCAACTTGGCTGCTGTCAAACTGAAGCCCAGCTAGGCAGAAGGAAGTTGAAGGGAGACCTTGGCTCCCCAACAACAATATAGCAAGTAGATCACTCTCCAAGGGAGATCACTCTTCCATCTAATAAAAGTTTTTATGTTCCCTCATATTTTGATTCAAACTTCAAAACAGTTGTACAGGGCTAGATTTTACCACTAGCCATACCTGACTCTGAACCAAAAAGACCAGAGCTTTCTAACCATAATCTACACCAACAATAGGTAACAGTTGTGCCTTCTATCTATGGAGTAACCACAGAGTCCAGTCACCTTCAGCCATGGGAAGCCTCATTCATTACCCCAGTGTGCCTTATAAACATTATTATTTTTCTCTGACTGCTGCAGATAAAGGCCCCTAAATTCAACTATAAGGAACACCTGACCTACCTACTTAGTTCTAAGATTGTGAACATGCATAAAAATGTACATCATACAGATACATACAAATGAACAGACATAAATGTACATGAAGCCGTTTGGAGAAAAAAAGTTTTAAACCCAATGATGGCTCAAATAACATCAAGTGAAGCCTGAGGCCAGGATGTGATCCTTGATTCCTCCCTCCCGCATCATTCAGTAAACAAATTATAAAAAATTTACGTTTTAATATTTTTTCAAATAGATTTGCCTACTCCCAATATTGTGCCTTAGTTCAGAATGGCAGTATTTGTCATCAGAGTAATAGTCTCCTAATTGGCTACCCTGTCCTTGGACTCAATGAAAATTGCATCTACCATTTCATCTGAAAGGTTATATAACCAGCAATGCACTTAAAGCACTTGATCACTTAACTAGGTATTGCTGAATTCTCACAGCAATGCCACAGAGCAGGAATTACTGTTCTCATTTTCACAGACAAGGGACTGAAGCTCTGAAAAAGGTTAAGTGACTTGCCCAAGGTCATGCAACTAGAATCATGTAGTGGAAATCCAAACTCAGGTCTTGGTTCCCAGCCTTAACCTTCCACTTAACCTTCTTCAATTCGGTTCCCAAAGCAACCTTTCTAAAAGGTAAATGCAATATTTTTCCCCACATAAAATCCTGCAAACAAGACTTGCCTCCAGCCCTCACCCTCTGTCATTCTCACCCCCTCCTACCCCAGCGAACTTCCAACAGTTTCCCAATCTGTCTTTTGCTGCTTTATCTGTAAACACACTGTTTTTCTGCCAAAAACACTTTTCTCCTTTGTCAGGTTACTTCCAACCCAAACTTCAAGATTTACTCAATCCTTACTCTGGGAAGCCTTACCCCTGACATACAGACCTAAAACTAGGGTTAGTGACCATCTGCTATGGTTATCAGCTAAATTTCTTACCACACTGTATTATGACTTTACCCTACTAGGCTATTAGTTCCTTAAGTAAATACTGCATTTTGTATTCCCAGTAGAGTAAATACTAGCAGATGAAGGACTCATGAATGTGGAATTAATAAATGAATTCACCACAAGTAGTACAAGTTAAGAAATTGACCCTAAAGTTAATACAACCTACTCTGGAATTCTAACATGCAAGATCTGAAGCAGGCTTTGTAAATCTGTTCTATTTCTTTATCTGTAGGAAACTCAAGAGTTTGAAGAGGAGTAAAAGAAATAACAGACAACACAATCTCTGGCACACTGACAGTATCATTAAACATTAGCAACACTTTTTTTCCCACTCTGAAAGTTCGTCCACATGACAAAGCCACATCTCAGAAAATATTTTCTCTGGTAGCTGCCATCAGCGCTTAAGATTTCTCCAAAAAGTAGTAAGCCAGGATCACTTAAAAACATCCTCAGCCACAGGCAAGGATCTTTCAGCTTCTAGTTACAGCAGAGTTCAGTAGTCACCACCACAACCTAAATCATTTAACTAGTATCTGAAGTTTTTTGCTTCTTACCCATCCCTCACTTTTCTCCCTTCAAAGTCAAAGACCATGCCCCTAAGCAAATGGAAACCTGCCCCCATAGAAACCAGTCAGCACCTTCCCCCAAGAACCACCTCTCCCCACTCCCAGTCTAGCGCGAATTTGAAGAAAGCCATCACCTAGGGCAAACTTAAATCTTGGAGGATCATGTCAGAAACCTTTCTGTCCATTCGAAGACCTTATCCCCAAGTATTAATTCAGGATAATGAATTCCTGGCATTAAGACTCCAAGAAAACGGGTCCCCCTGAAGTCTTCCCCAATAACAGTCCTTCAGATTTGTTACTCTCAAAGAGACCAAAATGCACCATTCCATCCCGCCCCCTTCCTGCGAGAGTCCAGGGTCTCGTCCACTCTCTCTCGAGACGGTTCTTCACTTTCAGGGACCGGGATGCTTTCCTCCCACCGGTGTCACCTCCTTTCCCACCTTGCCTTTGCCCTCCCGCTGCACAGGCCTGGCCTGGTCTCGCCGCCAGCCAGCTCCACAGAGCCGCTACTCACCGCTTCTTGGGGATGGTGCCTGACTCCTGCACGGCGGGAGTGGCAGTGGGCGCCGCCGTGGCCGCCGACGCGGCTCTCCGCGCTTTGCACTCATTGGTACTCACAGCCTCCTGGGGCCGGCCCAGCAGATGGCCCGAGAGAACCCGGAGCCTCCGCCCGGCGCGGTCCCGGTCTGGATCCGGGTCCCGGTCCCGGTCCGCTGCGGAGCCGGAGCCCGCACCCACGTCCGTTCCACCCGCTGCAGCCGCCGCCTCCGCCATGGCTTCCGCCTGTGCCGCCGCCCCGGACCGCTGGGCGCGGGTGAAAGGTCGCTTAGAGTGGCGCCCGGCGCGACCATTCGCTGCGGCGCATCCCGGCAGCCACCGCGGCGACTGGGCGGCGGGTGCCATGCGCCGGGAGTCTAGCAATCTCAGCTCCCGCCCACCGCGCCCGCCTGCCCGCCCTCCGCGGTCACGCCTCGGACGGCGAGCACCTGCCAGGCAGGTGAGTGTGAGCGGTCCCGGATTGGTCCAGACACGGCTGGGTTGAGCTGGACCAGAATCCAAACCACAAGCTTCCCGGGATGGTCTAGTACTCAGGTTGGTGACCTCGGGTGTCGCCTTGGCCTCCGGAGCAGCTTTACAGGGCAGACGCCTAGGACCAGGGTGCTGCTGGACCTGACAGCTTAAGCGCCATTCTTCTGAATAAGCTTCTGCTTACTCCCCGTGTCCCCTCCGCGTCACTAAGTAACTCAAAACTGTCTCGTTGCTTGTAACCATTAGAGCAAATAGCGGTCATTTTCTCCTCATCTACTTAGTGACTGGCACTGTGCTTAATACTAGATCTCAAGTAATCTCCATTGTACGGATGAAAAAACTGAAGCTCAGAGACACTAACTTGCCTGAGGACGTAAAGCTGAGTTGCAACCGAGATTCTTTTTCCATTCCTTACTGAATGCTATGCCCTTCCTTTAATGGAGCCAGGCTTTATTGCTGCAGATAGAATTGCCCAACAGCTGTTCTTAGGACTTCTTGCTTTTCTACAAAATGACTTTCTGGATAATAACACTTGGTGAAATTAGGGGGAATCTCACAGGGCAGTGCACCTTGCAGATCTAACCATCGGAAGTAAAGTTCCTTTTTGCATAATGAGCAATTCAAAGATAAGTCTTGGGAATGGTAAGAGAATGGGTTGCCATAGGCATTCTAAGCCCAATGAAGTCACCTTCTTTCCAAATAACCACCTTCTTTCTAACACAGGCTCTGTGAAAGAGTTAAGATATCCCAGGAGCTATTTGACTAATATAAAAGAACTACTTAATAGTTCTGAGAAAATTCATACAATGAGGAAGATGATTTAACTGCCAGATCTCCAGCTCTAAAAGATAGTTCAACATTAAATATCCAGGTTAGCTCTGGAATCACTGAGCCCAACTCCTGTGTAGCTGCTCCTTTTCTCCATTGGCTATTTAAAATGGAGAGGAAAAGGAACAGGGGCAAATCGCTGAGAGCTGGAAGGGGAAAGTCTCCTCAAGCTTGAGAGTTCAGCCACTCTAACCCTCAAGCTTCTCACACTCTTTCTACATGCTACTAGAAGAGCATTAAAATTTGCTTGCAGTCATGTAAAATTGGCATTTTTTTTTTTTTGCCAAAAAAGCTAATAATAAGCAACAACTTCCTCAGAATTTTTTTTGGAATGAGACTGGTCTATTAATTTTTGCTTGACTCTCAGCTTAGTCTAACACTAGGCAATAGTTAACTGATTTCTTCACTGTTGTCCAAACTGAGGTATGGATATACTTCTCACCAACTCTGAGGAGGAATGCTCAGTGGAAAAATTAGAGACTTTTTTTCAAATATATATATACAGTAATGAAATACAGGCAGTAAAAACATGTACCTAATTCATTACTATGTGCTAGGAGATACAAAAGTATGTAAGTCAGTGCCTCATCTGCATGATATAATCAGGCTAATTAGGAGTTAGGATATATTTGGGGCGGGGAGATGTATGATACTGTTGGGTGGGATAAGCCTGATGTAGGTGAAGGGTTTCCTATCCTCTCCTAACAAGAACAAAGCCCAAGCAGAGTGCCTTGAAATTTATTTCAAAGAGAGAATGTTCCACACAAGGTGTGGTCCATTGAGATGCTTATGATTACCACAAAAAGGAAACCTCAGTGAATATAACATTCAGGAGGGCCATCTCAACACACCTGTTCCTTCTGGGTCCTGGAACACTTGACCCTTAATAACCTGGATCCAATGAAGGGCAGACCACATATACAGAAACAAAGGGCGAGCCTAAGAACAAAAGGAATTTTAAATGGAATGGATTTTATTTCCATTTATGATACCTCTTCTGACATGAGGCACAAGAAAAGTCTAAATAGGAGATAGTACCAAATCACATGCACCACATTACCGCACTGATTTCCATTACTTCTCTACAGAGCTGCTGGTCTATTAATTTTTACTTGTCTCTCAAGAGAGCTTAGTCTAACACTAGGCAAGAGTTAACTGAGTTCTTCACTGTTGTCCAAACTGAGGTATGAATGCACGTCTCACCAATTCTCAGGAAGCAAAATTTATAAATTTTGCGTATATCAACAGAATAACCTATTTTAAGGAATTCCCTGATAAAGGAATCCTTGCATTTTATACATTTTTTTTTTAGACCTTACTTATTTGTCAGAGAGAGAGGGAGAGAGAGCGAGCACAGGCAGACAGAATGGCAGGCAGAGGCAGAGGGAGAAGCAGGCTCCCCGCCGAGCAAGGAGCCCGATGTGGGACTCAATCCCAGGACACTGGGATCATGACCTGAGCCGAAGGAAGCTGCTTAACCAACTGAGCCACCCAGGCGTCCCGCATTTTATACATTTTTATTGTAAAATATAACACAGAGAAAAGTGAACCAAAGCATAAATTATCACAGATCAAACACCCATGTAGCTTCTATCTAGACTGAGAAATAAAACATTGACAGCACCCTGGAAGTCCCCCTTATGCCCTCTCCGAATGGCTTAGCCCTTCCTATCTGCCAAAGGTAACCACGATCCTCAGTATCATAGTACACATATCCTTGTTTTTCTTTATGATTCTAACAATTAAGCATGCATCCCTTACCAGCTTTTTAAATTTAAATAATCATATGATACGTTCTTTTGTGTCTGGTTTCTTTGACTCAACATTATGTTTGTGATAGTCATCCATATTATTGCATGTAATTGTAGTTCATTCATTTTCTTTGCTGTATAATATTCCTTTATATATATAAAATATATGTGTGTGTATACACACACACACACACACACATACCAGAGTTTCTCTGTTCTATAATTAATGGACACGAGTTGTTTCCAATTTGGGACTATTGTGGATAAGGTTGCTATGAACATTTTTTGCATATGTCTCGAGGTAGACATGTAGATGAATTTCTGTTAAGTACCCATGTAAGAATAACATTACTAGGTCACCAAGGATGCATATGTTCAATGGATAATGAAATGCCAAACTATTGCACAGAGAGTGTACAAATGTATCCCAGGAGCATATGAACATTGCTCTACCATATGTTATTGTCAGTCTAGTTTGTTTTAGCTATTATATACTATTATCTTAATTGTGATTCTGATTCATATCTCCCTGATTTTACTAATGAGATCGAGGGCCTTTTTTGTATGTTTGTTGACCATTTGGATATCATCATTTGTGAATGTGTAATGAAGATAAATCTCTTGTATTGCCTTCTAGAAGCCTTATTGTTTTTCCTTTCATTTATAGTTTAACTGGAATTGATTTTTGTTTATGGAGTAGAGATCAAGTCTCTGGGGTTTGTTTGTTTGTTTGTTTGTTTGTTTGTTTGTTTTCCCCAGATGAGTATCCAACTGTTTGGGCACTACTTGTCAAAAAGATCTTATTCCAGGGGTGCCGGGGTGTCTGTCAGTCGAGCATCTAACTCTTGATTTCAGCTCAGGTCATGATCTCAGGGTGGTGGGATCAAGCCCTGTGTCAGGCTCTGCACTCTGGGGAGTCTGCTTGATTCTCTTTCCCTTGCCTCTGTCCCTCTTCCCACCCCCTCACCCCAGCTTGTGTATGCAGACACATTCTCTCTCTCTAAAAAATAAATAAATAAATCCTAAAAAACAAAAAGATCTTGTTCTGCATTGCCATCTTTGTTATAAGTCAAGTGTCCATATAGCATTAGTGTATTTCTGGACTCTGTATTTTATCCATTGTTCTATTTGTCTATCTTATGCCAGTATCTCACTCTCTTAACTTATTGTATCCTTTTAGATCTTCTAATACAATTATATCATTTGTGAACAAGAATAGTTGATTTTTTTCAGCTGATTTCTTCCCAATCCTTATTTATACCTTGTACTTCTTTTTCTTGCCTTGCCTTGCTGGCTAGGACCGAAAGTACAATGTTGAATAGACGTTGTGAGAGTAGCACCCTTATCTTGTCCCTGGTCTCAAAGGGAAATCTCTCAACATTTTGCCGTTGTTTGAAGTGAGTTGCTGATTATTCTTTTTTTTTTTAACCTTTTAGCAGATTAAGAAACTCCCCTTCTAATACTAGTTTTTTGAGAGTTTTGATCATAGATGGATATTGAGTTTTATCAGGTTTTTTTTTTCCTTCATCTATTGAGATGATCACATGATTTCTCTTTTATCCTGTTAGTACAGTGAATTACATGGATCAGTTTTCCACTGTCAACCAACCTTGCAATGCTAGCATAAATCCAGCCTTGTAATTGTATTGGCCTAGCCAGGTATTGGCTTTTTTATATATTACTGAATACCGAGTTAAAATTTGTTTAAGATTTTGTATATAGTAAAGTTGGTCTGTTAGTTCTCTAATAGGAATTTGTCAGCTTTTGCTGGCCCAAGAAACCAGTTAGCAAGTATTACTTTGGTTTTTAAGTCTCAGGAAGAGTTTGTGTAAAATTGCTTATTATTTCTTCCTTAAATCTTTGTTAGAATTCATCAAATAAATGGTCTGAACCTAGAGTTTTCTTTATGGAAAGGTTTTTATTTATAGATTAAATAGTTTAATATTACTCAGATTTTCTATTTCTACTTGTTTCAGTCTTTGACAGTATTTTTCTAGGAAATTATCGCTTCATTTATACTTCCAAATTTATTGACATAAAGTTTTTCATTATTATTATCATTTTTTTTTCACAATTATTTTATTCCCACTTAATACCTTCTCTGTGTTCCACTTTCAGCTAAAGAATTTACCCCCATGGCTATCCCGCTCTTTCCTGAACTAAAATATCCCCTTTACCTATTTCTACACTTCTTGTTCCTATTCACAGTGAAAGTTTTTCCTTCA